CTCTTCTACATCAACATGTGTCCCCTCTTCTTCATGTCTCTTCTACATCAACATGTGTCCCCTCTTCTCCATGTCTCTTCTGCATCAACATGTGTCCCCTCTTCTTCATGTCTCTTCTACATCAACATGTGTCCCCTCTGTGGAAAGAGACTCTGAAAGTTTCAGGAACAAAGATTCTCTCTCTTTTTGTCCTGATCCATTTCTATAAAAACCTGTCTGAAAATGAGCTGATCAGGCTACTTTATGATGTCATAACGATGTTTTGTCTTGTGTAACCATTAGCCAATCAGCAACCAAGGTAACCCCCCCCCCCTTTGTAACCAAATGTCTCTCAGAGGGGCGTGGGGAGGGGCTCCTTACTTTCATCTAAAGTAACAGACAGAGAATCAGCACTTTGGAAACAGGGCTGAAACAGAGGGGATTATGGGTAATGCTGCAATGATCTGTTTGGTGTTTGGAGCCAAACACTTCAGAGACATGTTTTGTATATATCTGAGAGCTATAACATATTGATGAAAAACAGTATAATAGGGGACCTTTCATTTATATTGAATAAATAGATTTGGAACCGTTTGAAAGCTGCAGGAGTAGGATGTGTAATCATGAGTTAATTGTTGTTTTTATTCTCAGAGAGCGTGTGGACAGGGAGCTCGGGGAGAAGGGCAGGATTCGTTCTGATCTGGAGAAAACCGAGAAACTAAAAGCTCAACTCGCTGTGGAGGTGGATGAGAGACACGCTGCTATAGAGCAAACCAACAACCAAAACCTCAGGTATTTAACTTATTTTAACATCTTACATAGAGGTCTTGTTGAAGTTGAGTATTACGCGACATGTGTGGCTTTTTAAAATGGTAGCAAATGGACCAAGAAGCCTTATTTTTATTTGCTTAAACCACAATAACTTAATGCTTACCTCAAAGGCTTTGACTCCATCCTCCTCCTACATGTGTCACAGTCAGTGTTGTGTTGAGTATTTGTGTTGCATGCTCTGTGTGCAGGAAGCTGGAGCAGGATCACAGGGAGAAGCTGAGTGTGGTGCGCTCAGATCTGATGAAGGACATGGAGCTGATGCAGCAGCAGAACGATCAGAAGAGAGAGACCCTGGAGGCCGAGCTGGAGAAGATCAGAGAGGACGAGTCCTTCCTCAGAGACCACCTCTCCATCTCCCTCCAGGTACACACACAACTCTCTCTGTGGATATAGTACAAGGTGGTTTCTCCACACAGAATGTCTAATGTCTCTTATTATTCCAGGAAAACAGACGCCTTGAAATGGAGCTGCTGGACAGCACCGACCAGCTGGTGGCGGCTCAGAGTCAGAACACTAAACTGCAGACAAACCTGGAAAACATGAGGAAGGAGAAGGTATAACAGACAGTTCAATGGGTCTACAATTCCTAAACAGTCTAATTGTGTAACATGTAAAATGGTTTTGGTTTGGTTTTTCTGCTTGCTTTTGTTTGTCTTCTTTTTATTTTATGGTTCATGTGCAAACAAACTAATAACGTGTAAATGATTTTGTCTTCTTCAGTTCGGAGACTTGGACCCCGGCAGCGCAGACTTCTTATTCCAAGAGGAACGAATCAAAGAATTACACAGCAGCTACGAAGCTCACTATAGGGTAACTACACGGTGTCTAAATCACTAACAACGTCCACCTTTTTCTACTGCATGGACATTTTATGCTGGGGCTTTTTTATGTAAAAAGATACAGATAGAAGATACCAGTCACAGTCAAAACGCATTATAACACAATGTAAAGACAACTATTTACAACATTGGAAAGAAGAAACTAAAAGCCAAAGTAGATTAGAACGTTACCTGGCTCTAAACAGAGATTATGAGCTGGCAGAATATCTCTCTACTGTCAGAGATAGAAAGCAGAGGCAGATCCTAACCAAGCACAGGCTCAGTGACCACAACCAGGCAACAGGAAGTGACAAAAGATCCTGGCAACCAAAAGACAACAGAATATGTGGTCACTATACCACAGGTGAGACTGGGACAGAGATGCACTTCCTCCTAAAGTGCCAAACATTCAACGAAATAAGGGAACAAGTAACAAGTTGAACTCTGAAGGAGGTTGATGACCTCTCAAGACTGAGAGTACTCCTAGGAGAAGGAGACAAGGCACATCTTGCTGCCCAATATGTATACACATGCCACAACCCTGAGGGACAGTGAATGAGACACACATACACACACACACACACACACACACACACACACACACACACACACACACACACACACACACACACACACACACACACACACACACACACACGTTGAAGTGTAATTGTATCACTGTGTATATATATACGATATATCGCCATATCGAGGTAAATCAATTTTTTTAAAACATGTTTTATAAAACCTTAATTTAACCAGATGGTCCCATTGAGATCATCAATCTCTTTTTCAAGGGAGACCTGTCCAACATGGCAGCAAGTAGGTTACAACATGAACATAAAACAACAGATAACACAAAAGGACATGGTATTTACAGGGCT